GCCCAGGCTTGGCTGCTGAGCCAGCATGCTACAATAAGGACGGGCTGGTTTCTCGGACAAACGATAAAAACCCCCCTAATATTAAAAACCCTTCGGGGGTTTTTATACAAGGGGGGGGGGGGCCTTTTATATTAGGGGGAAGGGATTATTTATGTGTACATATCCAACCACCATGTATATATTGTGTCGATCGGCATACGAGGTCGACAGTTAACAACTAAGCTGGGCTTTTTGGGGGAGGCTCCTTTTCTGAGAGGGGCCGCACCAGGATTTCAGTACTTCGTCTGTAGGGGGTTGGTTCCAAGGGCCCCGTGGACGAAACATCGGCCCGCCCCCCAAACCAAGTCCTTGCCGAACGGACCCCCCCCCCCCCTCCATCAGTGGCCAAGGGTCTCCTGACCATGGATCTCCACCCGCGCCTGGACGGATCAACCACCATGAGGTCCAGGGGGGGTTGAGTGCTTCGGCCCGAATTCGGGCATAGGAATGGGAGTTGGACCGAAAGGAGATTTTTTTTTTTGGGGGGGGGGGGGGGGGGGCTCTCGTGAGCTAGAGGCGGACCAACTTGGTTCCTCGTGGCTCCCGAAATCAAGCGCAACCTCCCCTCGCTTGCAAGGAAGCGGTCTCCGAACCAGCGTGGCTTTCAACACTCTTCCTGAGTCACAAGGGTAGGGTTCCGTTTCCCCTTTGTGCGCCGTAATACCGAAACGGGACCGAGGAGGCGGGAGGGGGGGCTCCCTTTCCCTGAAACCCATCTACAGCCTTCGCTTGCTGCGGCAAAGGATTCCTGGAATCAGCCCTGGACCTGCAAATCTTGACATTGCGATGCCCTGGCTCTGCGAAGGGACCCCAAGATATATCCGGCACCCTACACCTCAACATCCCTCAACCCCGACACCCCCCCCGACGTCCACAGCCCAACAGGGCGGGCATCTTGATGTAGATCGTGGCATTCAGCCTCAACTCAGGCATAAACGCATTGGGTCTTCGGTTCAGGGAAAGAGGTTTTGGGGCTTGGGGTGCGCTTTCCGGCTCGCAGCCCCAGTTTGAATCATAGCTGCAGCCACAGGGGCAGCATGGGGTTCATCCTTGAGCCCACCTGGCGCTACTTATAGGCAGGGTTCAGCGCCCGATATGCCCCTTCACGGCGTTCGGGCTTAGGGCTCAGGGTTTCGCAGCCAAGCACAACGTGAACATTAACGTCAACATTGAGCAGAGGCCCCGAACTTCTGACCCGGAACAACAGGCCGCCGCCTTTTTGACCCGAGGGGCGTTCCAGTGCTGGCTGGTGTCTGAGGGCTGTGAAAGGGCCGTAACTGCCGGCACAAACTGAGTACCCGCCTCTTCCCCCACTGCCTGAACCCTGATGGGCGCACCTGGAAGTAGCCCCCCTCTCCCACAAGGATGTAGCTGGTGCGTAACTCCAGGTCGGCCTCGGGATGAATCCGGCTTACTGTGGGGGTGAAGCGGGGAGTAAGTACGGTGTATATATATATATATATGTATGCATAATTTTGTCCTCTGAGTAGATGAGCTTCAAGCTTAGATTTGAGATAGGAGCCATAGGGTTAGAATCTAGGGTCTTAGGGTTTAGGGTTTAGGGTTTAGGGTGGTTCGGGGTTTAGGGTACCTCAGCCTGTACAGCCCAGCTGGACATTTGGTTGCTTGTGGCCAGTTCAAGCTCTGGCGGGCTCCTCGGTGGGGCAACGCCCATGCTTGCACTAACATTGGTACAACTAGAAAAATTTACAATCCAGTGACTTAGGGTTTCGGTTTTGGGGGTTAGGGTTTACTGGTTTTTGGAGAAGCTTTTGTTGCCGGACGAAAAAGTCTCAAGAACAGACTGGCCCGGCCAATTTGTAAAGAGTTCTGCTACCCCCCCTCCCTCCTACCGACCTACAAAACGGCAATTTTCTGGTTGACGTTTGCAAAAGTAACACAAAAGAGCCGGCTCGAAAAAACCACCCAAGGTATTGTCCAACCAAAGCCGAGGACACTGTCGAGCCGGCTCCAGTTTGGTAACCCTGCTGAGTTGAGTCATTTTGGGTTTTGTGTCGAGCTGGCTCCGAAAAACCGAAGTTTCTGACCGACCAAAGCCAACAACCATGGCCTCTGGGATTTCTGGCTTTTCGGGCTTTTTCGAGCCGGCTCGAGCTTGGTGACCCTGCGGGGTTTGTTTTGTGGGCCAAAGCCCGACGTGTTCACCAACCAGATAGGCTGCACATAACCAGGACAAATGATACTGCACACGATTTATGATTCCAGGTAACATGATTAGCAGAACTAATGCAACTAAAACGATTCATACATTTACTTTCAACCGCATAAGTCATTCAACTCATACAACCATTCTCACTATTCACTATACAATTCATAGAACTATGATCCTCATTGCACTTAACATCGTCAGCACAAAATATGCAATTAAAAAATTAGAGTGGGGCGGGGCAACTCTTCTTTCTCTCTACATTCATTTCATCTCTCTCTCTCACCGGACCTCAGGAACATAAGCTTTGAGAAGGTAGATCCGGGGGGGGGGGGGGCATATACAAATATATGAATCATAATACTATGCATATACATATATATATACACAGACTTAACGTAATTCCATAGGCTGCCCGAACCCAAGGTGTAAGGCCGGCGGCCGTTCTCAACGGGCCCTGTAGAAGAAATGTGCCATCATTGGCGGCGATAACCCCCATCCCGAAACCCTTGGGTTTTAGACTCGGAGTTTAGGGTATAGGGTTTAACTCCAAGTCCAAAAACCTAAAACCCTGAACCTCAAACCCTGAACCCGAAGCAAAGGGTTGTTGGGACGCTTGACCTGCCTTGGAAGTGTCCCACTTCACTGTGCCATAGATGGTAAGCGTCCTCGGGCTCAGGAGTCTTGCGTTACCCACAGCCTTAAACCCTAAACCTCTAAGCCCTGAGCCCGAAGTAGAGTCTGCGGCTACAGGGATTACAGGCTTAGAGAGACTCATTCATTCGTGCGTTTAGGACATCACGCCAAAGCCTGCACGTCAACCCGAACCCATTCAGCCAACGCCCAGCAAGCAACGCCAGAGCAGAAAACAAGCTTGCTACACATGATCCCGGAGGTGTGCGCCCATGCTTGCTGTTGCAAAGGGTTTAGGGTTTAGGGTTTAGGGTTTAGGGTTTAGGGTTTAGGGTTCAGGGTTCAGGGTTCAGGGTTCAGGGTTTAGGGTTTAGGCTGCACATGCAAAAGGCTTGCCAACACACTTGGACAGGCATCTCGACGTCGATCGAATGGTCCAGGATCCAGGTGTGGCCAGCAGGGACCACGCAGTGCCCGTCTGGGCATGTGCTCGTCAGAGAGACGCTACTAAGCAAGTCTTCCTCGGGTGTGCCCAGATGTGCCACTGCGGCTTAATGCAACCCTTGGTTTAGGGTTTCGGGTTTCGGGCTTCGGGCTTAGGGATGCTTCGGGTTTAGGGTTTACGGTTTTGGGTTTCGGTTTCGAGTTTCGGGTTTAGGGCCACTCGTCATGGTCCTGCGGGACACACTGGTCAACTTAGGTCACGCGCGCGCTAGGTCACTGATGGCTTCGTAACGCTTGAATGCAATTATTTCCTTGATACAGGCCCGATTTCTTCAACTTCTTCAAAACACAAGGGCTTTGGAGATGTAACTGCGCCCAGGGCACACTCGGGGACTGCCAAGCCGTGACGCCTGCACAAGCAAACTCAGCGCTTGCTGCCAGCTGAACCCTTGTAGGGGCTTAGGGCTTCAGGTTGTAGGGCTTGAGGGTTTTAGGGTGTAGGGATGTGTAGGGTGTAGGGTGTAGGGTTTAGGGTTTAGGGTTTAGGGTTTAGGGATGTGCAAGGTGTAGGGGGCAACTTGTGAGCCAATGATGGGACAGTGGAAGGCACGGGGCCATGAGAGCCCGAGGCGACTGCCGGCCTCTGCTTCTTGGAAGCACAGTCGCCAGCAGTGGCCAAAAAAGCATCATGCACATGCAGGTCTTGAACTCAATAATTGGGAGCGAAATACGGGACCGCTATAATAGGCCCCCGCAAATGGTAGGATTCCCTTAGACAAAGGACTTCCCTGATTTCAGAAACCCCTATTTGTGGAGATTAGGCCCGTGCACTTTGTTTGACTTCAGTAGCGGCGGCTTAGCGAGCCACGCATGACGTGGGCAATGCCTGTTATATCCTGCTATGACAGCTGGTTTTCCTACGAATTCCCGGAGTCGCAGCAAAAGGCAGGCGCGTCTTGTGCGCGATGATGCCTTCGAGCCCAGGCGCAGCAACAGCACCAGCGAAGGGCCCTAAGGGATCTTGGGGGTTCCTGTTCAACTCCTAGCCAATGCAGCCCCCTTTCCGAAGGCACCCAAGAAGGGACCATGGCATAGAGAATGAATTGGACTAACCCCCCTTCTCTCCCCTCGTGGCCGCCCTTGGTTGGGTTTTGTTGGGTTGGCCTCTGGGCATCCTAAAGGCAGTTAGGGCCTTGAAAGGGGGTCTTGAGGGGTTGTGAGGGGGGTTCATAAAGGTTTAGGCCCTAGGTCTTCTGCGCTCCCCCCACACCCTGCGCGACCTTTTTTCTTCGTAGGCGGCACTTTGGCACCCACTGATGCTTATTGCTTACTTCCTTGTGGTGAAACACGCAAAAACAGATAAAGACGAGATCTCCCCGCAAGCACGCAGCCTTGCCCCATTCTCCACCGCCTCCGCCCCCCTTCTTCTTACATCTCACAAGCTGCTCTTTCGCCGGCAGATCCTATTCCTGGCCGAACATCGAGGTGGAGCCTTGAGCTTCAAGAAACATATACAAATCACACAAGTAGAAACGGTGTGAATATGGTGAACCACGTTGCACCACAGCTACGCCTCGATGTGCGGGATGCAACGAGATGAATTGCAGTATATTGCAGTACAGTGAACGAGGCCACTTTGCAACGTTCATCGACCCTAGGCTACGCTTGTAAGCGGCAGTTCACTTCGAAGTTCTTGGAAGTCGAAGTTGTTTTTTTGTCAGGCCTCACACTGCGAGAATGGCCAGAGGCCCGAGGACGTCTCACCCGATTCGCCCATGAGGCGGAGCAGTGTCTCCATGTTGCCCTCCGAGAAAGCATCGCCCCGGGCTGCGGAGGCGTTGAAGCCGAGCTCCCCTTCCAGCCGGGAGCGGATCTCCCGGACGCTGGCCATGGCATCCCTCAGCTCCCCCAGACGTCTGGGCACGCTGGGCACGTCATAGAGGCCGTTGATCTTCTCCTGGATTTTGGGGTGCTTGGCGATGTGGTTCTGACGGCACGCCGCGTGCATCGCTGCCCCGTAGGGGGCGATGGCCGCCGCCGCCGTGGTGATGCCCGCGACGCTGGCCCCGCAGAGGGCGCTGACGTCAAGGAAGTCGCTGCAGTGCACGACAATCAAGTTCAGGAAGGTCACCACCTGATCTTGCATGCATACAGTAAGTCCCAGATGCATTTTCTCTTTCCGGGGGGGCGGGCCTGGGGGATGGGGCGAGAACGGGGCGCGGCATCTGAGACGAGAGGCCTGGCCGATATACGCCACGGCCCCTCCAATGTCGACTGTGCACAATGCCTGGCAGGGGCATCCAAGGAGGGGATCACAGCTGAAAAGGTAGATGAGTCGAGATTTGCTTGGCTCCTGCCTCCGGAATTCCAGTGACTTTGTTCAAGGGCGACGCCTTTGCTTGCCAGCCGCACTGGCCAGAATTGACGGCGCTGTTGATGGCGAGGCCCATGTTGGCAATGTTGCTCACGACCATACCCACGTCGAGGCCGCACTGGATGCCATTGCCGATGGCACCCTCCCCGATCAACAGTCGTCGGCCCATACCGCGGACGGTCTGATCTCCAAGCACACTGATCTTGGTCGTGGTAAGGCCTCATCGTGTGCACGTACGCAACCCAAGCTACCCCAGGCCCTTAGCTACGCCCTTCATTCAATGCACAGGTCGACATTTACATCCGCATCTGCCCTTCGATCCCGAAAAGCGGAAGGAAAGAGCCCCCGAAGGCGGCCCTGGCGCTGGGCGGTGTGGACACGCAGGTGGCGGCTGCCAGGGAGGCTGTGGCCGCCAACTCGCCCATGGCGGAGACCAGGCCAGTGACACCTCAGGGCTTTCGGAAGAACTTCAGTTGGTCTTGGGAGTCTTGGGCTTTCAATCCAGGCAGTGGGGGCGCTTCTCATGTCTGGGCTTAAATTGGAGGCTTTGCCTTTGCTTTGTGTCGTGGGATCTCCTTTTATCAGGGAGAGTCTTTTAGCAAGGTTACCTCTAAAGGGTACTTCAATCACAGAACGACCGGGGGTCATGATGCTGCACGTGTCGCGCAAAGATTGCGAAGAAATCAGCGGGGCCTACAGCGCAGAGGGCGTTCACGTTGGTGGTCAGCGCACAGTTGGAGGCGGCGAAGGACAGCTTGGCGGCCAAATTGCCAACCCACGCGACCAGGATGCCACCGTTCACTTGGCACGCCAACTGGCCACAAGCATCCGGGGCTTTGAAAGTCCTAGCTTTGCTTTAGACCTAGTGCAGGGAGTTTATGGGAGGGTACAGACTCTCGCCTCCGACTCGCCATCGCGTGGTGGAGGGCAGGTCCGGATGATTGCATTGATATCATCACCCATGCCCATGACGGAGATCTCAGCAGCTGGCATTCTCAACATCTTTCAAAGCGCTTTTCAAGGCTCAGAAGGCTCTTAAAGGCTCAGATATATCTGCCCAGTTGCGAAAGCTTCGAGGACGTTGAAGGCACAGAAGGCATGTCCCGCTTCCGTGAGTCGATCCTCCTTCTTCTGAGCTCTGTAAGCCTTGATTTCGGCCTCGGAGGAACATCGCTGTTGGGACTCCACTATTCTCTCCCACGTCCTCGCACAGTTTTTGCTGCTCTTTCAGATGGGGGGGGGAGGGGGGGCAGGGGCGGGGCAGGGCAGGGGGGGGCAGGGCAGGGGGGGCGGCGCAGCGGGGGCGGGGCAGGGAAGAGAAAGGGGGGCCGGGGGGGGGGGGGGGGGGGAGGGGATGGTTCTGTCCTGGAGCGTATCAGTATCGAACTTTGCCAATTCAAGGTTGTAGCCAAGGTCTTTGAGGCTCCCAGATCCGAGATTCAGGTTTAGGGTTTCGGGTTTGAGTCAGAGCCTTAGGGTTTCAGGGTTTAGGGAATATACACAGTAACATACATGCGAGCCAAAACACAGAAGCCCAACCAGACCGTGATGCGACTGAAAGTTCGGAAACCGTGCGTTTTTCAACATCTCGCCAAAAAGAACAACCAGTTTCGCCCAAAATTCGGGCGCGAGGCTCGCGAAGCATCGGTAGGTGTAGTCGCACACAAACGCCACCAAAATGTTTAGGGCACAGCAAGCCTCCCAGTGGGGTATCTTCTCCCTGACCACAATGCTGCCAGGAGTCTACCGAGAGCATGTTGCGGGCAGCATCCTGGAACGCTTTGTCTCCCGGCACGGAGCAAAACGTGAGCAAATCGGAAGGCTCCCAAAGCAAATCGCACCAAGGCGGCACTGCTTAGGCCAGGGCGACGGGGCTTGTTGGAAGCTGTCGCACCTTGTTTCAAGTGCGCGGTTCCCCCCACGAGCCGAAGGCTTCGTCTCTTTTTGCGTTCAGAGTTGAGAGTTCTGAATCGAGTTCGGCGAGTACTTCAGAAGAGTGCCCCAAAAGTGCTCCATCCATTCTCGGAGCACGGAGTTCTGCTTGAGTTCCCATAAAACTTTGAATGGGCAGAGGCCCCAGGCCTCAGACCTCAGCAATGATGAAGACAAAAAGGACTTCCAAAAGGCATCTCGCAAAGTGTTCTGAACTTCCGGCCGAGGCTGCCGGAACACTTGTGGAAGGCTGGTTGGGAGGTTTGAACACTCTTTGACCCAAAAACAAACCGGTCGAAAAGCCATGCCTTAACGAAGTCGAACTTGTAAGCCGTGCACCCCTACCCCTAAGTCTCGAGTCTCAAGCAGATCTACCACAAAAGCCGAGAAAAGTTTCGATCGAACGCATGTTCCCCTAAACCTGGCCCTGTCACCTGGTGTGCGTCGTAGCGCTTCGCATAGTCCTGGCTGCAGTCACAAAAGGATTTTCTGAGGTTTCGTAGAGTTTGTGGTTAGGGTTTCAGGGTTTGTTGCTTTGTGCCCTAGGAATCGTAAGCCTTCTGGGTTGCGCGGGCTTTCAACGTTCGCATAAACCCTAAACAGTCCTCGCCCGCAGACTTCATTGCTTTCATGACGATGCCATCGGCAAGGCTCCTGCCACCACTTGCTTCGACTACTCGCGTCTCATGCTCCTGCAACGATATGCATACGCTACCTGACACATACGTTTTCTATGTGTACGTGCGAATCTCATTGCGTGATATATATATATATATGCTACCCCCCCCCCCATGCGCCCACGCTTCAGCATGGTTTCCAGACAAAAATACTACGTTCCGCCACCCGCGGTGGTTTTAAAAGGGGGGAGGAACTCCCATAAAACTCCAGCAGAAGTGACCTGACCAATTTGCTCGAGATTGTGGATTGCATGCTATGAGTTTAAATAGAAATCCTATGCATGTGAATAGCGTTCCTATCAGGTTTAATTGGGTTCATAGGATTCATCTTGTTTCAATAGGAATCTTATAAAAATGAAAGGGAAACCCATTAATAGGAATGAGAACCCTTAATCCGATTAAATTCTATGGTAACCCTATTCAAATGACAGAATCCTATTTAAAATTGATAGGAATCATATTACATTTGTAGGAGCCTTATTAAAATAATTCGGCAAACTATGGAAAGGTATTGGAATCTTATACACAGAAAAACAGGAATCCTCTATTTCAATCCATAGGAACCCTAGAAAAAGTAGAACCCAATTATACTTGATAGCAATCCTAATAAACTGAAGAGGGCCCCTACTAAAATTAATAGGAACCAATGGGACTCCTATAAAAAACAAGTGTGAACCCCTAAATAGTAGGAATCCTACTAAAATTAATATGAGCCTAAACCAATCGGTATCCCTTTCAAACGAATGAGATCCCTATTAAAATAAATACGAATCCCATTAACATGAATAAGCATCTGATTAAACTTGATAGGAATTCTATTACATTAGTGGGAGCCTTATTGAAAGAATTAGAAACCCTATGAAACTTTATTGGATTTCTATAAAAATAAATAGGAATCCTCTATTGACTTCATAGGAATCCTGCCAATATTTTTCGGAACCGATAAAAGTTAATAGGAAGCCTATTAAAATGAATAGGAACCCTTACCAAATTGAAAAGAACCGGTCATAATTCATAGGAATCCTTTTAATATGAGAAGGAACCTTGCGAAATGAATAGGAACCAATAGGACTCCTGTATAAGATAATATGAATCGACTTAAAGGATTGGTTTTTTTTGGACAGTACAGCGTTTTTGCAGTCCCAGGCCTCGAAAGTGCTGTACTGTCCCCAAAAAAAATCAATCTTTTTAAGGCAAAAAGTGCAAAAATGCTGTACTGTCCCAAAAAAACCAAAAAAAAAACCAAAGTTTAGAGACCTTGGGCTCCTCCAGGACCTGGAGGTCTCCAAACTTTGGTTTTTTTGGGACAGTACGGCATTTTTGCTTGTTTTTGCTTAAAAAGATTGGTTTTTTGGGGACAGTACAGCATTTTTGCAGTCCCAGGCCTCGAAAGTGCTGTACTGTCCCAAAAAATCCAATCTTTTTAAGGCAAAAAGTGCAAAAATGCTGTACTGTCCCAAAAAAACCAAAAAAAAACCAGACCTTGGGCTCCTCCAGGGCCTGGAGGTCTCCAAACTTTGGTTTTTTTGGTTTTTTTGGGACAGTACGGCATTTTTGCTTGCTTTTGCTTAAAAGGATTGCTTTTTTTGGGACAGCACAGCGTTTTTGCAGTCCCAGGCCTCGAAAGTGCTGTACTGTCCCAAAAAACCCAAACTTTTTAAGGCAAAAAGTGCAAAAATGCTGTACTGTCCCAAAAAAACAAAAAAAACAAAAACCAAGTTTGGAGACCTTGGGCTCCTCCAGGGCCTGGAGGTCTCCAAACTTTGGTTTTTTGGTTTTTTTGGGACAGTACGGCATTTTTGCTTGTTTTTGCTTAAAAAGATTGGTTTTTTTGGGACAGTACAGCGTTTTTGTTCTTCTGGGCCTAAAACATTGGTTCAGTAGAGCGCTTTCGTGCTCGCTGCCCTCGGAGGCTTCGAAATCCTAAGCCTCTAAACCCTACCATGGCACCTGAGAGGAAAAAGTGTGGGCATATGGGGGGGGGGTACCATATACATATATATCATGTCTGCACGCAAGGCTCTTGCCGGCGCCTGTTTTTGATGCTCTTCAGCCCAGCCACTTTCAGGGCCATTTGCGCATCCACGTCGGAGGTGAACAAGCCCTTGCAGCGGGAAATGACGGGAAGCCGTTGGAAGCTCAACCCCGGCGTGCAGCATCACATCACCGTGCGCCTGGATGCCAGCTGTGCCGTGGGTTCTGTGCTTACAATGCATCATGTTCTTCCAGGCCAGCGTGCCACCCGCCAGGCACAGGATCAAGGCAACTGCCACGGCCTTCACCTTACGCTCAGCAAGCTCTCCACAAGCAGCCGTGCAAGCTGTGCACATCCAAGTGAAGATTGAACACGTGACAAAAACGTGTGTCCCGGCTTCGGCCGAGGCGCACGGTGTGTGCCGTGCCTGTGCCCGTCTGGTTCGAGCCCTTCGAGCCGCAATGGCCGGACCTCAGCTGCCAGCTACGGAACAGCAGGGCCAACAATGACGTGACTGGGCCTCCTCCTCATCCTTGGACGCCATTCCTGCACTGCTGCACGACTCGGTGAGATGGACAACAGCGCGCACCAACGCAAACCCCGCACCTCCAGCAACAGAAGTCACGGCCAAGCGCCGTTCACGGCTGGGCCCCACACTGAGCCCAAAGCGGCGGAAAGCGGCGTGCTTGCTCAAAGCGGAGCAATTTGGGGGAATCTGCAGGGCGGATGAAGTCCAACTGTCCGTAGTCTGGCAGGTGGCTTGAGTTCATTCTTGCGCGATTGGAGTCGCGGGACTGGAGTGCTCGACATCTGCTGGCACACACATGCCTTTTGACTGACAGGACCAGGCACCAGGTAAAAGCTCTGGGAATTAAATGTCTCAAGACGGCTGCGCACCATCTTCTCGGGCAACTTGGCATCTACTCGGCGCTGGCTTTGCTGTTACTACGGGCACAAGGGGCACAAGGAGCACATGCTCCACGAGACAAGATCCAAATTCAGGAAGATCACGACCTCCACAGATATCGTAGCAATGGCACCTCGGACGCAAGCTGAATTCAGGGACGCTCTATGACAGTGGATTCCCTGTTGGTTAGCGCAGCAATAAGGGAAATAAGGGGGATAAGGGGGCCATCACCCGCGGCACTTCGATGCGATCGTTCACACGACCGAGGGATGTCAAGGCACATCCATGAAGTAGGGTTTCTGTATCTCACCAATATGTAAAGGGAACCATGTATACACTAACCATTAAAACAAAGACTTCATGTCCTTTCAACGTACTTCAAATGGTATAGGCAGGGCGATTCTGCACCGATGCATACTCCTTAGTTCAGGGGAGTTGGGCTCTCTGGACACTTCAGCTCTCAGCACCCGGCTATCAACCAAGCCTCGGCCACGACATGCAGAGCTCAGAAAACTTGCCCTAGGCCGCCTTTCGGCAACAGGGGGTCGGCAAACACATGACGAAACATCACTTCTTTTCTCCTGAACTTCTACGCAAACTCCTGCAAAGATCTCATCCGGCTGGATGTCACTGCGACTCAAATCTCGCATAGGGCCCGCACTCCGGCCGCTGAGCGCTGGCCGCCACCATGCATCGGGTCGGCCTGGCGGACCTGGGCCACGTCAAGACACTGCGGAGAGAAACCTCGATGAGGTGCATAGGCTTTGGGGCTTGGGGACCTCAAGGAGTTCAGTCTAGGTGGTTTAGGGTTTAGGGAGTCAGGGTGGTGCAATCACAGCAGCAGCATTGCCAGTGGATTTTGACACCACGACCGTCTTCGCGTCCTCCACCTCACCAGGCGCAGCGCAACAGCCGTTCTTGCTACTGCCGCTACTCAGAGTGGCACGCTGGCACGCACACGCATGAAAGGCACAGCGGCCTTGACACCGTACCCCTGCACGTTATTCCTCAGCAGGGTCTTCTCGTGGACCTCAGCCACCTGGATGGCGATGTTTGTGCAAGGAGCTTGTGTGTGTGTGTGTGTGTGCAAGTGTATGTGTAAGGTGTAAATGTGCAAGTGTGCAAGTGTTGCGTAGGTGCGTGTAGCTGTGTGTGTGTGTGCGCGTGTGTGCGTGTGTGCGTGTGTGTATGTGTGTGTACGTGTGTGTACGTGTGTGTGTGTGTGTGTACGTGTGTGTGTGTGTACGTGTGTGTACGTGTGTGTACGTGTGTGTACGTGTGTGTACGTGTGTGTGTGTGTGTACGTGTGTGTACGTGTGTGTACGTGTGTGTGTGTGTGTACCTGTGTGTAC